CCCCCCAACTCCCACCCCACCCCCACCCCTGCTTAAAGGAATAAACTTAAAAAAATTCAAACAATTTAAATGTAGCAGAGGGTGTGTAAGGTGTCCAGGGAAACACTAGAAACAGTGTTTGGCAGATTTCCCCAGAAGGTATGTTTGCAGAAATTCCAACTTTGCACTTTTATAGATGTCTGAAGTTTCCTGAAAGATTATGTAACAGGGTAGCACTCATTCTCCCAGGCAAGTACTTGAGAGAACATATGCTAAGTAAGCCCCATTCTGTGTCTGGGTCGAGGCTGGTATGGGTTAGTGGCCTGATGGGATAGTCACACACAAAAGCATTGCTTTAAGCTTTTCTGCCCACTCCCTGTTCTCATGTAAATGCTGATACTTTCTATGTTTTTCTACATTGGAGGCAGAGGTGGTAGAGAGCTTGCCTTAGCATGTGAGGCCTAGAATTATAACCCTAATGCTGAGAAATGAAACAAAAGAACAATGGTTATGTAGAAATTAGACATAAAAGATAAGAACTTACAGAACCCCACCTCCAAAGTCCATCCCATTGTCATACTGTTTGCTGCTTGCTGCCTGAAGGCCCAACTCCTCTCATCTTCTCCAAAAACTAAATTGGGTTCTTTTCTTCCATGATTTTTCAGAGGTGTGTTTTGGCCATGGAGAATGCCAGATTTTGGGGGGCTTCAAAATGGTCTCGAGGCCACCACCTTATGCTATAGGCTGATATTGGCTCTGCTTTCTGGCTCTGCTTTTCTGAAAGTTCAAGGTGGAAGACATTGGTGGTACCCTGCCCCTTTCTGTGCTCAGTGCCTTGAGCCTCTTTAGGAAGCATCTGTTTCAGTGTGGTTTGGAAGGCTGATAGAAATGCCCACCTGGCTTTTGCCTAGTATACTGAATAAATCACTCTGTAACAGGTGTTCCTTCCTCTACATCTCTTCACCCTGGCCTTCTTGGGGAGGTAGCTTGGGTCCTATAGGCACTGGGCCTCTCACCTCACAGCCTGCTCCTTTAACATCCTTTTCTGTCCCCTGAAGTCTCCACTGCTGAGGTCATGGGAATTGAGCCTGAAAACTTAATATCCACCAGGCATTCCAGGCCACTCCAGTGCCAGGGAGTTGTTCAAAACTGGTGGTATGGCAGAAGCTCTCGTGCAGGAACAATAGAGGATATGAATTTGAGACTACTTCTCTGGGTACCATGCATCGGCCAATGAGCAGTGGCTGTTTGGCCGCCTTTACTTCTGCCAGTCTGGTGCTCAGTCTGAGTTTTCTGATGACCTCTTCTGTGTTTGGACTTGTGATATATTCTAGCCACTTTAAGACCCATTCCCTGTAGTCAACCTTCTGGGTTATCAGCTTTCCCAGTGGAGCACAGTATAATGGCCAGTTGTGCCAGGCCTGAGTGGGATAGACAAAGCTTCAGAGCTCTGGTTGAGTGGATGCACACTTGGCTAGTCCACATGGGTAAAATTCCCATATGCTGACATTTCTTGGGCCCATAGGTATAGAGCTAGATTCTGTTGTTCATCATGCTTGTCCCATTTGTCACAGCTTGTCATTTACCAGCACAACATCCAAATGAGAAACAGAGGAGAGAGCAGCTTCCTACAGCTGCCCTTGTAGACTCAGTCACCTTCCCATAGGAAGCACAATCATCCTTGCTAGAAGACTGGAGGAGAAGACTCTCCATTCCTGGCATTGTTGGTAGTGTGTTAAGTTCGCAGGAAGTTCCCTGGCTCCTGACCATCTCCTCTGGAGACACCCTTGGCTCTGATCTACTAGGATGTGCTCTCTTCAAAGTGGTCATAACATGAGAGCTCATGTCCCTGGCCTCAGGGCTAAGGAATTTGCAGATACATGAACTCACTATTTTGTCCCACTGTTCACAGCTCAGCCAAGATAAGGGGGGATGCTCTGTTCATTCTGGGTTCTTGGGGGTGCTGGCCAAAGAGGAGCATCCATTCAGGGCTCAATAGGACCTGTGTCTAAGGTGGCATGCATTGAGAACATTGGTATGCTCTTTGAGGGTTTATTCTGCCGGGACATCACTTCTTTGGCCTATGAATGCTTGGGGTATAAAGATAGTCCCTCCACCTGGGACCCTGGACCAGGCAGCTCTGTCTGGGAGGTTGGTGATTCTAATGAAGCCACCTTCCTGTTGTTTTCTCTTCCTGTACTACTTGCTTTCTTCTATGTTAATAGGTGGTAACTGGTAAATGAGAGTGTGGGTTCCCTTCCCTTCTTAAGGTGCGTGAGTGTGGTACAGGGTTTGGGGGAAGACCTTTCTTGGGCCAGCTTGTTTGTGCTCAGCTTGCTTTCACTCACTCCATGTCCGCAGTCTGTGTTTCCCATGTTGCCTACCAGAAGCTGAGGAGGAGTCCAGGGAGTTTTGTCTGAAGTTTGGTGTGTTGGGCAGGCTGGACAAGGCTATACAGATCTGAAGCACACCATTAAGATGTAGGTTCAAAGTCCATCTCTTTATAACTGTAAAACTGAGAGTTGGACAGTCGGTGTGCAAATTGGCCTTTTCCTTTGCACGTGGCAATAAGGAGAAACGAAAACAGATTCAAACGGGTAAAGTAAGCTAAGGCTATTATGGAGTTAGGAGGTCAGGACTACAAGCCTGGAACTGGAGACTACTTAGGAATCAGGAAATAAAGGAAATGAAGAGGCGTCTACGGGCCGCTGACCTTTAGTGCCGCATGGGGCACTTGAATTCACAATTTCCAGGACAACCACTTGTTTTCACAATGACAGCTTTATGAGCTTTGAAGTGCAGAAGAAAATTATACATTTAAAATTTCATTGTTTTAATGAATTCAGTTTAAGAGCAGTTTAACTTTAATGTGTGTGCTTAAGTAGCTGGGACGCTGTATTAGTTACTTTTCTGTTGCTGTGGTAAAACTCCATGA